CATGGAAAAAGCTACTGTTCCCAAGCAATGACTCTTTACTGATGCACACTGAGGGGCCATCATGTCCTGATCACTGGGTGGCCTCTTATCTGGAGCAGTGTTAGCTCAGATTATTTTATGGAATTAATTAATTCTCACTTCAGGACTGACCTTTTCTCCTTCTGAGGAGGCTCTTGTGTATGACAGAAGAGCAGGGGCCTCAATAGAGAGGCAGGTATTAGCATTCTTGTGTAAAGAGTAAGACTAAGAACTGGGGAAGGCATGTGGCCTCTCAGTGGACGCGCAAGGTAAATCAGTGAACGGAGGTTTACACTTGCCTCTGAGACTGATTCATTACTGCAATGCTACTTTTCCATTTAAGAAAATTAAATGTGATGACACCAGTTAGGGGTTAATATTTATAAAGGTTTTGAAAAGAAAGTAGTTGCTTAATTAAGATATTATGACAGCAGTGGTGGTGGCGGCGGTGGTGGTGGATGATGTTGAAGAACAGACTTGAGCTAGAAACCCTAACATATATCTTAGGCTCTTTACACAGACAGAATGAAAGGAACCACATCCGGTGATATTGGCAAATACTTTAGAAACTTCCCAGCAGCAGCCCCCTCTAGGCCCTTCCTGCCTATTTTGCCACCAACAGACCGGTAGGTCCTCATCCAGTCTTATGAGAAGAGATTCCAAATTTGTATAACAAGAGTGTGCTTAAAAAGCTCTGATGTTAAAAGGCCTTCCTACTCAAAAAGGTTGAAAACTACAAAGCAGACTAAGGTTTCTTCCCTTCCTCATTTTACTAATTTCTATCTTAATATGTTACTTAGAATTTAAAACTGGGGCAAAATATATCCTGAGCATAATCACTGCATGATAGAAAAATCTATGTCTTGGCCATAAAGATTCGGGGGCAGGAGAAGCTACAGAAATCCTTGACTCTGAAAGGAAAAACCCGTGAAGGGGAAAAATGTCTATCACTATAGTTCTGGAGGCAAAATGATCACAAGAGCAACTCTAACTTTGATCATGAGTGGCAACAGGATTCAGAAGAACAGCCAGGATCAGGTTGCAATAATTCCATCTATGAGCTTAGTAACCCTGAACAACTCCAAGTTTAGTTGCTTTCCTATAAAATTTATAACAATATGAATGCCTTGAAGGGCTCAAATTAGACAATGGAGGTGGAAGTGCTTTACCAACTAGAAGGAGTTAAAATAAATGTGATTTGTTACCATGATTATAACAATGACTTTCTGGTCACAAATAAATGTCCATTTCATTTTTGGTAATGAAATTTATGCCACCAAAGAGCAATAAATGCTTTATTTGGTTTGAATGCCAAGACGATTTATTTGAACTCTATAGCGCCACTATGAATTTTCCTCTCATCTGGGGTTGGAAGGAAATTCTGCAATGTCCCACCATACTGAAATGTCAAACTTTGCAAAGGGGATCATTTTCCTACGTCAGTACTGAAAGCACACAGTTAGTTTATCTAGTACGAGGAGAAATATAGTGGGTAAATCTGCTGCAGTCAAAATCTCTTCATCTCCACTGAATAGAGAGAGAGCAGCTTGTGGGCTGAGGGATGGTCAGAGAGTGTAGACGGCATTTAGGCTCCGACAAGCCTTTTAGAGCTTAACCTGCAACGGGAAGTGACACAATCAGCTGTCCCCTGAGCTGGGCAGCTATCGCGTGCACCCTGCCACTTCCTCTCTTGGGTGCCTGGAGAAAGGAAGGTTGGGAAAGTAAAGCATGAGGAAGTATATCATGGGAAGAAGAAAGAAGAGGCCAAATAAACAGTGGGAAAAGTCCCAACTCTATCCCTCATCCTGGTTCCTTATTCTTCCTGGGCTGTGATTAAGTAAACTGAATTATTTCTACTCCAATAGCCATTCTTTTTGCTGGAAAAACTGCTGAATTTAGCAATATCCTTAGAGAACATAACTCTTGACCTATTGGCAATGCTTAGAGAAGAAAGCTGGCATCAACATATTTATAGACAATTAATTGTTTAGTTAGAGTTCAAACACCAAATAGACTCGTAATTCTTCTGTTGCTTTATCCCTAACTCTCTACCCTAAATAGTAAGGTGCAGTAAAGGTCTAGGAAGGTTGGATTATCTCAGTATCTGGGCACTAGCTATTATCTTAGGTCAACATTACCACTATTTATTGTTCCCATGTCATTCACTATGGAAAAGTGACAGAGTTAATCTGTGGCACATGATGGAAAAGGAAAGGCAAAAAAATAGAGATGGCTTAGCACAGAGAATCTCAGAGAGGTACATGAAATATAAGGCATGTTGGCTCGTACTGGTCGTAAAGGAAATTGAAGGCATTACCACTTGGCGAGGTACCAGGTATGGTTATCAGAAAACACAGACATAGGGGAAGATGTGATTGCAGACTGAAGTTTTAGCACACAGGCCCCCTTCCTTGTTGGCAAGGGGAAGGCCCCCTCTTCAGTTGTCGGTACTATCATAGGAAAAGTCACAAGCAAGTGAAGCAAATGATATTTCATGGTGGGGCAACAGGTGGTCTTATCAGCTCCACACTGAAAGAAGGATCAGGAAGGAGTCTGAATGAGATTTGCATCTTGAACAAAGATGAACTAAAAGGAGGTAATGTTTGGTTGTTAAAAAAAAAAAAGAATTTCAACTGAAGGTGCAGCTCAGTGGTAGAGCATGTGGTTAGCATGTGCCAGGTATTGGGTTTGATCCCTAGCTCGTCTTCCTGACTGCTACTCATCTGTAAGTCTCCACTGATACTACGCCATCTGTTCACTTAAGTAGATGTTCTACCAATTCACCCACGAGCGCTGCCATTAAGGAAATCCAAAAGTTCATCCAGCATAAGCTGGATGTGCATTGAGATCAGCAGCTCAATTGCCCCCAGACCATCCTGTCACAGAGGAGGCCCAGGCACATCACAGCAGAGTCCACTGCAGCTGCCTAGAATTCACAATTTGAGGTCATGGCCAATGTCAGGCTTTGTGATCATCTTGCTTGCAAGCCACAAAGGTTTAGAAAAGAACTGCCCCCCTACCCCGCTTATTTCTAGGTCAGAAAAAATTATTCTTTGTAGTAACAGTAATTACAAAGTTAAATTAGAACATAGTCACAGAGGCTTTGACTTTGGCCTCAAAACTTTTAACTATGATAAGAGAATAATTTATGAGATAAACTAGGCAAAGTCAAATACGAAATATCCTTCAAGAAAAGGAGCTTATTCTCCAGGTTTAATATACACCCTGATGTAAGTCTGGTCTACCCCATAGGGTTGTGGGCATCGATTACACCTTCAGACAGGCTAGAATAGCTCTGACCATTCAGGCCTCCAAGCCCTGTGTCCCACTTTCCCATATCCTTGTGCAGTGTTACAAATCTTTACTATACTCTTCAAGTTTCTAAAGAGGAGACACCCAAGCCACCACCCAAGCAGAGGGCCTCATTTATCTAGGTCAAGTTGATACAAGTTTATCAGACTTCTGCTTTCTCCATTTCCTGTCCTGCTATCTACCCAAGATCCAGAGCTGCACCCAGCCATGTTACCCTTCCTCATATTACAGAGCAGTGGTCTTCAAACTGTGGTCCTGAAACCTCAGGAGTCTCATGGAACTGTTCAGGGCCAGCATAGCTGCTGGATCCTTTTCCTTTCCCTCTGTTCCATCTCAGCAATTTTGCTTCTGTCTAGATCAGATGTTGGCAGTCCTGATTGCATGTGCATTTCCTTCTCAGATGAGGAAGCTATGAAGCCCACCAAGTTCCGGTGATGAGGGGAGGCTGACTTCTTCATACCCCTCTACTGGAACAATGGGGTTTCCCAGCTTTCACCAAAAGGCTCTGAAGGGCATGAGCCAATGACAGCTCCTTTGATTTGACCTTCACTATCTCCTTGAAGTAGGAATTACCATTCCCGTTTCATGGACAAGTAAACTGAAAAGGCAAAGGACATTCTGAAGGTGATATGGCTCTCGAGGGCAAAGCTAGGACACAAGCTCTGCTCATCAGATGTTAAACTCCAGCTCTGCCCAAACACTCTGGCGCAAAGTATGTATTCTGTTCCCATCTTACTTGAAGTACTTTCCCTGTGTATTCATTCATTCCTTCAATATCATCTTCCCAAGAAGGTCTTATCAATTTCCCAACTGAAAGAGAGTCTGAGGGAAGAAACAGACAACATTTTCCTAGAACATCTGTAAAGCTTTTGTGAACGTACAATGGGGGTGTACGATGCACTGCGTGCCCCGCATGAACCACTCATGGCCAACTAAGGAACAGAATAAGCAAGTTACTGACCATGACTAACAGACACAATGAAACTACTAAAAGTCAGTAGTTGGCATCACTCATACGTACTTTTCCTTGATATACCAGGCACATGGCTGTGTTTCTGGGTATCTTGTCTCTGTTCTGAAATACATCTCAGAAAACATTTGATTCCAAAATAAACAAATGAACAACTCCTAGGTTAGTTCTAGTAATATTACAAATGGGTATTTTTCAGAATCCCAGGACACACTGAACAAGAAAGAATTGGAAGGAGAAGGACAGGAAAGGACTATAGTTCCTTTTTTTAAAGAATGCTGAGACCTTAATAGTATCTGTACCTTAGATTCATAACTTAAATAAAATATAGACATGATTTAAAAGTGGCTGTACTTAAGGAAATGCTTTTCTAAAATTCTAAGCAAAGGGATCAATTCAGCCCCATTGTTTCTATGACTGGTGAGGAAATGATATCAGCATAAAGAGGTTGACCTGTGTTATAAAAGGTGATACTCAAGTCAAATCTGGACACACACACACACACACACACACACACATTCTGTGTGAAACTCTTGTTACTGTCTCCAAGGAAGTGTACTCTGGAAGGACTTTTTCTCATAACCACACATGGAAACACTCAAATGAAATTTTTTTTCCCTGAAAGGGCAAGTTCATCCAGAATTTGAAGCGGGAAGTTCTCTGCACATTTATATGCAAACTGGGGTTTTTAATGCCTTACCTGAGCAGAAAAGTCAATGAGCTTCGGGAGCAGCACTTTGCCTCCTTCATCACTCTTGAGGAAGTCTAGCAAACTGCCTATTTACACAGGAAGAGCAGGTTAGTGCAGGTCCAACACATGAGAAAGAAATTCAAACAAAATTCAAATGATCATTATCACTGGGGGAAAGACCCCACAAAATGACTGGCTTTGCAGTTCTATATGGTTATAAAGTCTTTTCCTGAGTTGGGTCAAATTCAGTTCCTTCCAATCTTTTATCTTTGACCTGATGTTAAACATGGCATGTGCTCCAGGTGAGCAAGAATGATGATGGATAGTGCCTTTCTCTCAATATGTGTGTGAAATAATACATGCCAAAGTAACTGCCATCATAATTAGCTTCCTGTAGCCAGCTCTTTAGTGAGCACCTTTGGAACAGAAAACAAGCAAGCAAATGCTCATAGAGAGAGCCTTCCACAGACACCAGCTAGGCTCACTCCCATTTGCCTCCAGCAGAAGGCACAGAATTCTGCACATGCCATAGGTACTCCATGAAAGGTACCTGAGGAACCACCCATGCCCTGGACAAAGGCAGGAATGTGCAGATGGACAAACATTTTCTCCTACTTCCTTGGCCTGCCTTTTCCCTGGAACTTAAGTACCAATCTCCTGGGTAGCCTTGGCCAAGTCACTGACTTCAGGGTAGTGTCTGTAAAATGGGCATGGTAGCTTTGTTGGAGTCCTTGTGAGGATATAATCAGGGACGGATTTAAAGCACATGACATGGGGTTTTGCAGGCAGTTAAGTGCTCAATAAATGTTATACTATCTCATCTATGACATGGAACATAGATGGAACATAGTACTTAGCCCTTGGGCTGCTGAAGAGAGATCACCTGTGGAAGGCACAGAAAACAATCTGGCAGATAGAACACTAAATAAATGTTAGGTATTGTTATGAAGAAAACAGTGTAGCTATACTTATGGTTAAGAATATTATTAATTGGAGCCAGGGATTTAGCTCAGTGGTTCCACCGCCTGCCTCGCAAGCACAAGGTCCAGAGTTTGATCCCCAGTACCAAAAAAAAAAAGCATAGTATTAATTAATTCAACAACATTTACTGAACCACAAAGCATCTGCTCCTGAGCCTGGTTTCTGGGATATAGCAACTCAAGGCATATGGGTTAGATTTGTTTATTTTGTTTTGTTTTTAGAAGATCCTTTTTGGAAGGACTCTGAGTAACTGCTATTCCTAAATGTTAACAGATACTAAATAATAAAATCCACCTTTTTAACCTCTTTGGCTATGTTACACTATAATCTCCATTATATATGAGCGATTATTAACTTTGAAATGTTATCCATGTAGCTTTCTTCCTTTCATTCATTACTTCAAGACTTTTTTCTTTTGCAAATCATTTAAAAGTTTATCAGTATCTCTGAAACTGGATGAAGTGAACAGAAGAAGGATGGTTATTCAAAGCCTTTTATTTTAAGGTAATTACAGTAGAAGAAAAGATTGTTGCTTGGTACCTCTTCTTCAGGTATTCCATAATTCCATATGAATTTAACCTCCAAGCGTTTCAGATATATTAACTTGTTTTGTATTCTACCCAAGCACCCTATCACTAAGCCACGTGCTGAGCCCCCATATTAACACTGTAAAGTGACACCCTGAACATTTTCATAATGCTAAAGAAAAAAATGAACTAATTGTACATTTTTGAGTATTCACTTTTTAAGCATATAATAAAAATATTCTTCTTTGAAATATATATTCATTTGTTTGATAAGTACTGTATTTATTAGGGTCTTGCAGGTACATGGCACTATTCTTGGGGCTAATAGGCATATGCAAGCAGATGCAGAAAAAATAGAAGACCTGTATATCAATTTCATGACATGTGTTAAGTTCTCATTAGTAGGTTTATAAAATAGATTAACATTAAAATACAATTAAAACTGTACTCTGAATGTTTAGATTTTGTTTTTTTGAGGCTGAAGCCTTGTAAAGATACTGGACAAGGTGGAAATATAGCTCCGTGGCAGAGTGCTTGCCTAGCATGTGCCAGACCTGTGATTCAATCCCCAGCCCCTCAGAATAACTTAAAGAAAGAAAGATGGGCACTGGCCATTACCCACCCTTGGCCATGTATTCAGTGATGATGTAGATGGGCTCTTCCTTGGTGACCACTGCATAAAGTCTCACTAGCTTGTCATGCTGCAGTGTCTTCATGAGGTTGGCTTCCTCAAGGAAAGCTTGCACAGACATGGTGCCTGGCTTCAGGGTCTTCACAGCAACCTTTGTGCTGTTGTTGTAGTAACCTAGGAAGAAAAAGAAAAGTAAGGCATGTTGTATGAAGTGGAAAATTCAAAAGTTTTACTTTGTAGCTGTAGAGTTAGAAAACAATTTAGTTATTAAAAAGGCAAAGTCTTAAACACTATAGAGTGTTAAAATTAGGAATGGCTGGATAAAGGGTAAATGGGAAGGTTCATTCTTTATAGAAAGTCTAAAATTATTTCAGAATAACAATATTCTAAGTAACAGTAAAAATGCTACTTGCACTTTATATAATCACACACACACTGCTTCTATAGTCCCCACTCAAAAAATATAAGCATGTTTTATAGATACACACAGAGGTGATGATGTGGCAGAAAATATGCCAAAATATACATTGAATACTGGCTATCTCTAATGGTTTGATTATGGGGAATTTTAATTTTGTTTGCCATACTTTTAACCATTTACTAAATTTTATAAAATGATTATATTATTTTTATAACCAGAAAAAGTGTTGTACTTTTATACACAAACTTTCAAGTACAATATGCCAGGGTCAAATAAGCATTTCTCAGAATTTTCCGAGAACTGGGGCCAGGGGTCTCTCTGGAGAAAGGGTTCTGTGCTGAAAGGGAGCACGACCGGCCATCTCTCCATGTCCAGGACATGCAGCAGGCATGTTGGGTGTCCTTCTGAGAAGGAACCTGAATGGATTCACCTCTGTTTTCCATACTGTTTTGACCTCAGAACACCTGCCACGTACCTTGTTATAGTTCATGGAACTTCCTCTCAGAAATCCTGACTCTGTGATACAGTTCCCTCAAAGCATCATGTTTTTGGGGCCAGGGATTTAGCTCAGTGGTTCCACTGCCTGCCCTGCAAGTGCAAGGGCCCGAGTTCAATTCCCAGTACCAAAAAAAAAATAGGCATCATATTTTTGGAAGCTGCTTCAATGAAGTACTTAATTTTAATCCTGAGTTTTCTCTTGGGAAAGCCTTGTCTCAGTAGTTTGGCAAAGCAGAAATATATATAATCATTGTCCACTTTCCTTTTCTCTCTATTTTCTTATTTCTCTTGAAAGAGCAAAATAATAAAGGTGAGCAAGGAGGTGCAGCTGGCGGTATCCCACCAATCCCCTAGCTGGCCACTGCTTCCTGGTATACTGCAGCTTTGTCGAACCTGCCCTGTGAGAGCTGATGGGGGCTCAAAGTCACAATGTCGCCTAGGTGTGGGCAGCATACAGAGTGGATTGGAAGATGCTCATCAAACAATAATGATCCCCTCTGGGTGCCAGAACTTGGAGTGACTTCTATTTTCTCTTGTTCTTATTCTATTTTGAGTAATTTGTCAATGAGTATGTACCTTTTTAATAAAATAAATTATGTTTTAAAAGAAAATAAGTTAATTTTCAATTTCCAAGGCCTCAAATGGGCATGAAAAAGTATTAGTTTATAGTCAATTAGTCATGTTTAGCTACTGAATTTTCTCCCATACATTCAGATTGATTTCTCAGGGCTGGTGATGCAGCTCAAAGGTAGAATTCTTGCCTAGCATGAGCGAGGTCTAGGTTTGAACCCAGCACTGCCCCCACAGAAGATGAACTCATTTATTAAAATGTTTCCTTTTCAATTCTGCTTTGGTTATAGTATACAGTAATAGTCTGTGGTATCTTATAGTAAAATGAAGGATTCAGTATAAAACAACTATTTGAACATATGGAGAAGACAGTAAGGGAAAACTGACAAAAAACTCTCCTAGATCCTTCTTGAAAGCTACAACATACACAAAATAACAGAATCATATATAAATAAGTTGACTGGCCATCCATATGCACAATTACAAGCAAGATGAACTTTTCAATGGGTCTCAAGAGTAAGTTTAACTCCATCAGCAGCAGTTTAAAATTACATTTGAATCAAGAAAACTTCATTATAAACTTTTTATTAATATATAAATAGGTCTTCAGTTACATGAGTATATCAGTAGCAAAGCATAGTCTATGAACAATTCCTATGAATTAGTAAGTAAAATAGAAAAATAGGTAAAAGCTTGGATGGGTACTTCGAAAAAGAAGAAATTCCAGTGACTAATAGGTACTCAATTTTACTAGTAGAGAAATACACTTTGGAAAATAAGTTGACAGTATTTAGTAGAGATAAAGATTCATAAGATAATCTGTGGGGGTGTTGGCCCCAAGCTCCCTTGTGGATACCAAGACCTGAGGATCCTCAAGTCCCCTATATAAGATGGCATAATATTTACACCCAACCTACATACAGTCTATCCTAGATCATTTCTAGATTACTTATAACACTGAATACAATATAAATGCTCTATAAGTCATTGTTAAGACAGTACAGTTTAGGAAATTAAGACAAGGAGAAAAGCCTAGACTTGTTCTACCCAAACATTTTCCATACAAGTCTGCTTGAATCTGTGAACCCACAGAACCCACAGATCTGGAGGGTTAACTGTACCTTACAAACTAGCAAACCCATCCCTAGTTACCCTAAAACATTCACACAAAATATTCAGAGCATATTTCTCACAGCAGCCAAAACCTGGGAGCAACTCCAATTTCATCAGTAAAGAGTAAAATAAATGAATACATAAACTGTTTTATGGTTTGAATAAACACACAAGCAACACTAAAGACAGATGAAATGTATCTACACTGAAAAACATGGATGAATCCACAAAGATTTCTGGCAAAGCATATCTCACATTCAACATGATTCATTTATATAAAGTTCAAGAACAGGCAAAACTGGACTGTAGAGTTTGGAGATATATTCATCATCGTACCCAAATGTACTAAAACTATATTTTTAAAAAGTCAGTGGGGTGGGCCAGGGATGTGGCTTAGTGGTAGAGCACTTGCCTACCATGCAGAAGGCCCTGGGTTCAATTACAGCACCATGGGATGGGGCAAGAAAAGCCATGAAATTATGACAAAGGTCAGAATATCAGTTGTCTCTGGGAATAGGAGAAGCTGTGGTTGGGAAGGGACAAAGGGACTCTGGAGCCAGCAAGTTTCCTCTGTGTGCTCTACGGTGGCCACACAGGTTTTCATTTTGTAATTATTTGTGAAACCAGATACTTGTGTGCATTCATTGTAATAAAAGTGCTCCCTTTTTGTCATTGTGAAAACAACTGAGCTAATGGAGACCTTTGTATACTTTCAAAGGATGAAGAAAAAGCATGCTTTTCAAGAGTAAGGGAAAAAATTATCAGGAAACATTGCAGCTGCTAAAGACATTAAAAATGCTGATAAGGCGCTTGAGATAAACAGTGATTAAACAGCTGTGTCACACAGCCACAGCAGCCTCTATGAAATGAGCTCTTAGGGCCACGACACTGAAAAGAGCAGGAGAATCTTCATCCTTACCTCAAAGGCATGATTTTTATTCATTAGTAAAGATTCAATTATACTTTACCCAGGTATTCTCCAGTTATCAGAAACTTCCTTTAACCTAGGCAGAGATACTTGGTGATTGTTACAAAAGGAAAATTATTTGAAAAAAAAGATATCTTCAAGGTAGTAAAGAACTTCTAGCGAAGTGCTATGTTGCCACAGTTAAGGAAAGGTGATGTGACAAATTGAGAAAATTCCAGTTTATTAAAAAGTGCCCTCATACCACAAGATGGGAAATGGCTTTAAAAAAATGCATGCAGTTGATACTGGAAGTTGGCTGATGATTAATTTCGATGCAGTTGGCTCAAATAAGAATGCACCAAGCTAAACTGAATTAAAAATGTTTCTTTATAAACTCTCTCCATAGACTAGGCAGTAAGAGGAAACATTATTTGTCTCTTCACTGTTCAGAGGAAGCATGTCACCCAAGTCAAATGTCAAGAGGATCGCGCAAACAGGAGGAAGCAGCTTGAAGCAGGGACACCTCTGTCTTTCATCCTCCACTCACACCCTTCCCCCAAAGGACAGGTCATTTCCTCGTATTTGTTCTCTGTATTTCAGACTAAAGAAACTCTGATCATCAAATGTCACAGGTAGTCTATGAGCAACTCCTCACATTTAACAAAGATTTTAACTTATCCGGTTAACAATGTATAATTTTAATATTTTTCCTGTCAATGAAAAAAGCTAGCCTGCTTATCTCTTAAAAAATAGGAACTAAATCTGGCAGCTGTAAATTGAACATGGCTTGCTATTACCCTCAGATAGTCAGATCAAGATGACAAACAATGGAGAGGGGGCAACCTTTGATCTCTGCTCAGCACAGCAGCAGCAATCACTATTGTTTTGATTTATTCTCAGTATTTTTCTGCTATATTTATTCAACAGATTGAAATTATTTCAGTGGCTAAGGAGCTCCTGGCTGACAGTCAAATTCACAGGTCCTATCAGCAAAAGACCTCAAGTTGAATATCCTTGCCCTTGCCCTGCCCTTTCCTTCCCTTCCCTCCTCCTTACCCCTTTTCCTTCCCTTCCCCTCCCCCCTTCCTTCCTTCCTTCCTTTCTTCCTTCCACATAAAACTAGAAGGAAAAAAATCACAATTAAAAAGAATAACTATCAACGTAATATCCTAGTGGTGATATTGTGTCAGACTTTTTCAAGATGTTATCATTGGAGGCAACTGGATAAAGGGTACATGGGGACTCTCCGTATTATTTCTTTCATATACATGTATATGTCAACTTTATTGAAATATAATTCATATCTCATACTGTTTATCCATTTAAAGTATAAGGTTCATCAGTTTTTTGCATATTCAGAATTTTGCAACCATTACCACGATCAACTTTAGAACATTTGTATTACGCCAAGGAGAAACCCCATGCTCATTAGCAGTCACTGAAACTAGGCTCTCATCTCCCATATGCAACTGGTCATCTACTTTCAGTCTCTACAGATTTGCATATTCTAGACAGTTCATGTAAATGGAACCATGTAATGTGTGCTCCTCTGTGGCTGGCTTCTTTCACTTAGCATAAGAGTCATCTATATGTACTAAGTGTCAGTTCTTCAGTTCTCTTTATTGTCAAATGATGCAGTGTCACAACATTTTTACTCCACCAGACAGTTTGAATAAAAATAACATTCTGGTTAGAAAAATTAAATATTTTCCAATGCCCCAGTTGTCCTCTTTTCTAAACCTCAATTTCTCCCAGGCACCACATAGGTACATGCTAAATTAAAGTTCTCTAAATTTGAAGTGCAAACATTGGGCACATGGCCCAGTGGATGCCCATGAACAGAACAGGGTTAGAAAGGAGCAGAGGATTAGAGTGTTTGCGAGTGGAAGCAAAGAGGTTTGCTCAGTTCCAGAAAGGACCGATGTGGCTGAGCTCCAGGTGCCCAACTGAGCACAGTCTGGAGCCTCTAGACAGGACAGGGGCTGTGCACAGTTCTCTTCAGCCCACCACTGCCTTGCTCTCAATTTCCTGCTGGTTTAACCTTCAGTTCTTTTGGAATGAGCAGGCTGGGGAGACAAATGGCACCTCTGTGTACTACCATCATGGAGTTGGTAAAGAGTTTACCGGTCTACTTGTTTGTAGTCTTGAAATATTTTTTTTTAAATTGCAAGATAACTATCTTAATATCTTTCCCTCAAATCGACAACTTCCAAAGGTCAGTAGAGTGGCTAGCCAATTTCCTGTTTCACCATTATGCCCCTTAGCTTTGTGACCCTTGCTGTTAATGACACGGGTACAGGGAAGCATGCAATGAAGTTATCTCACCCATACCAGGAAGCTCCTGAAGCTGTACAACCACACAGCTGACCACAGCACTTCTGATGCCAGGAACCCAGCATGGCAGCAAATGCACTTTTAAAGCGTTATTGACTGAGATACTCACATACATGTAATCCACTCAACCAACTGGATTTAGGTGTACTTGGTTGGCTGTCACTTAGTTCTCAGCATGAACTTCTGTCCCTTTATCCTGGCTTCACAGCTGGTCATGGGAGGGTTGAGGCAAAATTCCAAGCCATCACTTTACATTCAGGGTGATTACCTTCCAGTAAATAAGTATAATGCAGTTAAACTACTCTATGTTTTCTTCATAACACATGTGCAATTCCCTCAGCAGCACTTATCCACAGAAGGGTCCAGCTGCATGATTTATAATTTGGTTTCATAATGAAAACTAGGAAAATTCCATCAAAATATAGCTTCTGGTGACTAGACTTAAACACAGAGAATATGACTGCCCATGCTACCTTTCCAGAAACAACTGCATTTTCTCATTAGAACCATAAGGAAAATTGATGGCTTAAAAATTCTTTTAAATTCTTATCACAAGAGAACACAGGGCCAAAATAATGCCCTGGAGAAAGTCTCTGCTATAAATTTGTGAACTTTTTGCCAGCCTAAGAAGGTGATACTTAGCACTAAGGAAGGATTCATTAATGATGTGACTTGGAGAATCTTTAGAAACTTTCTTGGTGACCTTCAAATTGCAATAAATGTGAGGTCGCTTACTAAGCCAGTTGTCCTAACCCTAAGTGTAGCTCTCCCTCAGATGGAAGCAAATTCCCTATGCTTCAAATGTACATCCAGGGAATATGAGGATGAAAGAATTATGAAAGAGTAGACAGAACATTCTGGATAAATACCCACCGTGCCCTACCTTACAAACATTAAGAGAATTACTAAGTCACAAAGAAGACCAAGAGTTGAAGCAAACAGATTTTTCAGGTCAATGTGTGGTCCTAAATGAACGGAAGAGAGTAAAAGAAATGATTCTTCTGATACCATTTAGTGGCTGGCTCAGAAGCTAAAAGAAACTGGTTCAAGCCTTCTTCATCACTGTCTGTGGAGTAGGACACTGGCCCCAGGCCCAAACACTCACCCATCCAGACTTCCCCAAACTGTCCGGCGCCAAGCTTTTTCACCAGCTTAATGGACTCCCGGGGGATTTCCCAGGCATCTTTATCCCATGGCTTCTGCGGTTTGGGACTAATACATGCCTTCTCCAATCTTCTGCATAAGCCATCTGCCTGCTCTAATTTGAAAGAGAAAACCAAGTTTAAGAAATGCAAATAGTCTGTGTCCCCAGAGGATGGTTCCAGGACCTTCCACTCCACACTGAAATCCACAGATATTCAAGACATAAAATGATGTCATCTAACCTATACACAACTTTCCATATTTTGGGTCATCTTTAGATTACTTGTAATACTTAATGTGATGTAAATGCTATATAAAAAAGTTGGTATATGTTCAATACAGATTCAACATTTTAAAATATTGGTTGCTTGTTGAATTCTCAGATGTAGAACCTATGGCTATGAAGGGCCAACTGTACATACTTTGTATCTTACCAGTTTCTATTAATTTTATAATGTCCAACCTGCCACAGTCTACAAACATAAAAGGCTGACATTGCATATCTTTTACATAATCATAACTTTTGAAATTCTTAAAAGGCAATTTGAAGCATTTCATTTTATCCATTAATACTGCTAATATATGAAAACAAAAACAGCAAAGCAAAAAAATACACGAAGGTTGACAGATAATCACACTTAATGGAATGTGATTTCAGATTCTTGAGCCCACATAAGTTCCACAGGACACAAAGATGGGGATGTGGCTATGTCACCCCTGGGCCCCAGCTGAGAACTGTGTCAGGGCACTGCAAGAGCTCAACACATGGGCCAGGTACACAACTGAAAGGATGAGAGGGAGGGAAGGTTCCATGAAATCTGAGGTCCTTGCTCTCTTTCTATTTTGGGACCTAAGCACACTTACAATGTGCATTCTCATGGAGAACATGGTAGAAAAAACAGTAGTAACAACCCCTTCGCCTGAGGATAGTCACACAAGAAATTAAAGGTCATGGGGACAAGCTCCACAGGGCTAGGACGTGATACCAGACACAAGAAACTACCACTTTTGAATCTGTCAGCGATATTATTTGTTTTCTTTTACAAAGAGTGTATTTTATTTATACATATGCACATATGCACACAAAAAAACAGATCTGCAAAACTATATTCCTGTTTAAAACACTTGGATCTAGGGCTGGGGATGTAGCACAGTAGTGTTGCACCTGCCTGGCAAGTGCAAGATCCTGAGTTTGATCCCTGGTACCAGGGGCAAAAAATAAATTTGGATCTATTGTAAAAATATGCACTGTGCAAAAAAACAAAACAAAACATTTTTCTCTAATTTTGGAATATTAAATGACAAACAGCATACTCTAGGCAGAAAGGACTATTATAATTATTAGAAAGATCAAATCTCATTTTGAACGACAGTTTCCAATTTACAACAGTTCAATTTAGGATTTGTTTTTACTTTATGATGGTAGAAAAGTGCACCTGTACAACCATTCTGATTTTCTCTTTTAGTACAGTGTTAAATAACTTATATGAGCTTCTCAACACTTTAATATAAATTGGCTTTGTGGTATTAGATGATTTTTTCCAACTAGAGGCTAATGTAAATATTCAGAGCACATCTAATGTAGGCTAGGCTGAGCTATGATGTTTGGTAAATTAAGTATATTAAACACATTTTCAACTTACATATTTGCAATTGTTAATGGGTTTATTGGACTATAACCTCATCATAAGTTAAGGACCATCTATATATTTAATCACAGTTGAATTTAGAATCAATTATAGAATATAACCTGCCAACTTTATCTAAAAGAGACATGATACATAAAACATTTTAGTACAAAAACTACTATCTGATATCTTCTACTTATCATAAGAAACATATTCTGCTTTGTTCCACCTTCAGTTTTTACTTACTTTGGTAATGCTTAATCATATCACTGATACAGGGAAAAGTAATTCGTGGAGAGATGTAATAGCCCCCATTGTCCAAACTCCGAATTTTGTAGTGCTTAATAACATCGCCATGCACAGGATCATAATCTCTGACAGACAGAGAGAAGCTTCCTATGGGAAAAAAGTGTAAGTAAAGTGCATGTTTATATTTTACAAATAAAGTTTGCATTGTACAACACTGTGGTACACACCGTACCATAAAAATATGCAAATTTAAGTTAAACATGCACAAAATGCATCATTTTAAGGGGTTTTTTCCATTTAATATATATTTGTTTTATTAAAAACTGCAAATGAACATATTACATGTAAAGTAGACTAAAAGATTTAAAGTTTTACACCATTAATATTATTTCTCCAAAAGTGCTGCTCTTGTTATTTTCTCTTGCTGAAGCTAAATACCCTTCAGATTCAATTTAATTTATAACTGATTCTTCCATTGCTTCTTGATCTCTTTGAGCATTTGAAAACATTCTTTCTGTTATTTTTGCTACTTGACTACTTAGGCTGACTCTTTCACAGAGATGATGGCTTCTTGAGTTAAAATTGTTTATCCTGAATTTTGAGGACATGGTTTTTTATCTGCCTCACATGTATTTTACAAATGAAATATTAGTAGATTTGAGTTCATTGTTCATGCTAAAGAATGTTGTTGTATAGATAATTTGGTTCTTTCTCCACAAATAAGTAGCCTTATAATGTATGTAGCATATTGTTGGATTTTGCTTCTTGACCCACTCTGCCAGTTTGTTTCTTTTGATTGGTGAATTGAGACCATTAACGTTGATGGTTATAACTGAAACGTATTGACTTATCATTGCCATGACTTTTTCTTTTTGTTGGGTTCTCCCCCTTTACATTTAATTTCTTGTCGTGCCAGATGGGTTCATTCTGCTTTGCTTCCTGGGGTTGTGATCCTCAATGTCTGTTCCTAGGATATTGTGTAAAATTCTTTGGAGTGCTGGTTTGGTATTCATGAAGCTCCTAAGGTGCTCTTTGTCATGAAAGTATCTTATTTCTCCATCCATTTTGAAAGATAGTTTTGCAGGGTACATCAGTCTGGGTTGGAGGCTGTTTTCTTTTAGGGTTTGGAATATGTCACTCCAAGCTCTTCTTGCCTTGATGGTTTGTGTTGAGAAGTCTGCTGTGATTCTGATGGGCTTTCCTTTGTATGTGATTTGTTTCTCTTCTCTATCTGGTTGTAGAACTTTGTTCTTCTGTTGAGTTTCTGGAATCTTAACAATTATACGTCTATGTGTAGATTTTTTTTTTGATCAAGGCTATTTGGAGTCCTATATGCCTCACTTATCTGTATGTCAAGCTCTTTTCCCCTGCTTGGGAAGTTTTCTGCCATTACTTCTGCAGAGTTTCTTTATGTCATCTGCACTCTCTCCTGTTTCTTCATTGACTCCGATCAGTCTTATGTTATGCTTCTTTGCATCTTCTAGCAGCTGCTGGATTGATTTCTTATGTTCCCTTACAATTTTGAAACAATTTTTCTTTTCCTGGTCATTAATTGCAATCTTATCTTCTGTATCTGAAATTCTGTCCTCACATTGACTCATTCTGCTGTGTAGACTTTCAATGGAGTTTTTCATCTCCTGGAAATCTATTTGCATCTGTTTTATGGATTCCATTTGTTTCCTATGTTGGGATTCCATCATGTTCTTCAGCTCCTCTCTAGATTTATTAATCATGTCTTGCACTAGGGGCACAATTTCTCCTGTTATCTGAAAAATTATTTCTGATTTCATTTTTTCCAGGTCCCCTTTTGTTGCCAGTTCAGTGGGTTCAGGTGGTTGAGTATCAGAGTGTTCCATGTCATTTCCCTTTGGGGTTGCTGTAGGTGATCTGGAAGTCTGGTTTTCAGACTTATTTATGTGTTTTCTCATTTTGACTGGGGGCGCGGAGGGGGGCTGTTGGCACCTGCGCAGCTCACCTCCTCTGAGCTGGGAGAGGTGGGCCAGGGGCCAGGAGCGGCGGTAGGGATGATGGCCCAAAAGCCCCTTCCTCTGGACCAGGAGCAGTGGGATGGTGGCTCAGAAGCCCCTACCTCTGGGCAGGAATTCTTTAAATGCTGAGAACTTGATTAGCTCCAGTACAGTGGTCTGGTGGTCCGGTGTCCTCTGCATCTTTGTAGTGTGGAACCAGGTGGCTGTACAGAGAAGTGGGGGGTGGGGGTGTGTGTCCAGTGGATTGCTGCCGGGCATGGGCTGATTCGGTGTTTTCCACGTGACTCAATTTTAAAAGTTTTATAAAAATTCTAGTGGACAAATAAAGTTAGCATTTCCTTTACTGTCCCAGTTGCCAACATGCTATTTTACTTCCATGATAGTTTTTAAACTACTTAGCCTAACAGAAAAGTTACTTTGATTTACTTTCTCTTAAAATTTTAGGATTTACTCTAAATAATAATGTAAGAAGCCCAGCAAACATAAAGAATGCCCGCTTAGTGTGGCCATAGTTATACCTGCTTTCCATGTTTGTTTTAGTAGCAAAATGAATCATTTGAGTTTATCATTATCAAAGTACAAAACTTTCACTACTAGAACCCATTGTATCCTTTTTTAAGTAGTTCTAGAATATTTTCTAAAAAATTGTTTCCTAAGTAGTGTTTTATAAGGCATCTTAAGGCACTTCCTACCTTTTAATGTTTCACTTTCTCTAATGAGAAAAGCTCCTGGACTGTTCCCTGGTGCCAGGAGTTGTCGTTCTGCATCTTTCCTGGTTATATCCTTAAAAAACCACCTGTGAAGACATTTTAACATTTCATAGGCTCTAAGTTCCAGGGAAGGCAAAGAATGATGAATAAACAAGTGTTCAATGCAGTGAACACCATCCTCAGAGGTGACAACACATAAGGACTCACTCTTCTGTTTCTAAGGTGTTGACCTTGGCCACGTAGTTGCTAGGGATGAAGCCTTCTCTCTTGGTTGAAAGGGACTTAGCTTTCCACCATTCTCCATGCCTGGAATAAAAATACACACAGAGAAGTATTTATATCCAAGACTCAAGAGCTATAATAGCAACTATCTTAGGGTATTTTTTTGCAAGGTGGGGAGAGAGTCCACTGGGAAAAGCCACTCCTCTGTATGTTACAAAATTGTTTAGGAGTGGAAACAAAGGAAAACGGGCTTACAACTTAAATGTGGGTCATAGTGTTGAGTGCTGCAAAAAAGGGCACTGGTAAAAATGAATCCTATCTTGAAGCAAAATATTTGTCATTTCCACCAGGCCAGCTAAGAAATGCTTCAGGATCCTTACAGAAATAGAGTTCAAGGGAGTAATGGGCCAGAATTCATGTGTTAGAAACTCCCTTGTTAAAATACCTAATTTCAATGAAGATGGATGCCATGAGTAGAAGAAACAATCATAAAACAATTCCAAGCAGGTTCAGACTCATCCTCAAGCCACAGGGCAACACAGAGCTAGGTGGAAGCGAGGCCAGGACTGGGAGGAGCAGGTGAGCTCTCTGGTGCTCACACAGGACAGGGTCCTTGTCTGTGAGACATGAAGGACAATAGAACTAACAATCTGCTACTGGCTATTCTAGAGCAGTACAATATTTATATATACAGTTGGCCCTCCATATCTGTGGGTTCTGCATCTTCAGATTCAACTAATGTAGACTGAAAATATTTTTTGAAAATTATGTCTGTATTAAGCACATACAGACTATTTCCCTTCTCATTATTCTCTAAATAATACAGCATAAGAATTATTTACCTAACATCTACATTGTTTTAGGCATTATAAGTAGTCTACAGCTAATTTAAAGTAAACAGAAGGATGTGCAGAGGTTTTATGCAAATACTACACTATTTTATGTAAGGGACTTGAGCATCTGTGGATTTTAGTACCCACGGGGGCCCTGGAACCAATCTCTGGCAATGCCCAGTGATGGCTGCATACACACATGCCATTCCCATAACAACCCCGTGATCGAGAGACTGTCTTTCCCATCTCTTAATTGAAGATGCAAAGTTAGAGACTTTGCATAAGTTTTCAAGGTCACACAGCCTGGTTTAGGCTCAAGTTTGTGCTCAACCCAAAAGCAACAGTACTCTCAATCATTCCTTAATGAGGGAGTCCCCACTCACCCTATGTGGCAGATCAGGATGACACTTCATGCCAAATCAGTAGGAAAAGTAAGCTAGAATTAAAATATTCTGAGTTCTTTATTTTTCATGCTTCCCTGTATCCCTGGGGCCAGCTATGTGTCTATGAGTCACCATGCAGAGGTCAAGGAAACAAAATGTCCAAGTGTCTTTAATGGAAGCATTGTGCTGCTGAGAGGATTTTCCCAACATGATCCTGCTATAGCACCACACCCAGGAAATCTAACCAGTGTAAACTCCAAATAATCTGAGTAATAAGACTCAATTAAAATAGCCACCTAAAATAACCTGCAGATGTCACACAGACCCAAACTTCTCAAGGCAAAACAGCTTGGTGAAGAAAGAAACTGGTATCTGCTTCAAGAGGCAAACTTGTGGAGAATGCTCACAGCTGGACTAAAATTTACTGGCAACTAAAGGGTTGGGAGGCCTCATGCCCACTACAAGAAGGGAGTCTGGGTGTTATTCTGGCACTGGAAGCAAAACAGGGTGGGTATCCTGCAGGGGCCAGTGGCCTGATGACAGGAGCCGCTGCTGCAGGTGTCTGCATGCACTTACTCCTCCAGGACTTTCATCTTCTCTCCCTTCTTGAAAGACAAGTCATCTGGGTGGATGCCATCATATGGATACAAGGCCACCACAATGTCTCCTTGCTCCTCTGGATCTAGAAATGAAGAACACAAGCAAAAGCTCTTAAGATTCAATCAGCAGAAATGATTTAATAATCCCTATGGGGCACAAAGGACACAAGGAGACAGGGGCAAGTGGGATGTGGACATGCCTTACTATCTGGGGGAAGGGGAGCGGAGGTCCACAGAGCAATGTGTTGCACATATTGTGCACAGTATTTGTTATCGGAAGTCACATTCACCAGAACTATAATTCTAGCTCTGTATTTAGGAAATGATGTGCCCCAATGCTGGCAAGGTTGTAGGGAAAAAGGAACCCTTCTATATTGTTGGTGGGAATGTAAACTAGTATTATCTTTATGGAAATCAGTATGGAGATTTCTCAAAAAAATTAAAAATAGAAATTCCATTTGACTCAGATATTCCTTGTCTCAGTAACTTCCTGAAAGAGTTAAAATCATCACATTGCAGTGATACACAGATACCCATGTTTATAGCAGCACAACTCACAACAGCTAAATTATGGAAGGGGCCTATATGTCCATCAACAGATGAATGGATAAAGAAAATATGGTATATACACACAATGGAGTACTATTCAGCCATAAAGAAGAATAAATTTGAGTCATTTGTAGGAAAATGGGTGGGTCTTGAGACCATAATGCTAAATAAATCAGTGAAATAAATATCTCATGGTTTTTCTTATATGAGAAACCCAAAATATGAATAATTTAAAGAGCAAAATAATAGTGAGATGGTAGGAAACAAGAAGGTGAACTTTGGGGAGATGGGAAAGAGATGTGAAGGAGGAAGAAGGAAGGACAGGCAGGAGGGAAAGAAACAACACTGACTGAAATGCAATACGTATATATACCAATGAGGGTAATTATTATGAATGCAAAGATATACACCAACAATAAAAAGATGTGCCCATGTTCATCAGAGCATGATTCATATACCTAAAGGTAGAAGTGACCCAAATGTCCACTGATGAGTGAATGATAAACAAAATGTAGCATAGCCACATAGTGGACTATTATTCAGCTTAAAAAGAAATGAAGTTCTGACATATTTTATGATATTGATGAACTTTGAGATATTATGCTAAGTTAAATAAACCAGGCATCAAAGGACAAACACCTGTTTCCACTTATATGTGTTACCTAGAATAATCAAATCCACAGAGACAGAAAGAACAGTGGTGGTTCCTAGGAGCAGCAGGGGAGTGGATATGAGGAGTTAGTGTCTAATGTGCACAGATTTTCGGTCTGGGATGATGAAAAAGTTCTCAGATAGTGGTGATGTGAACATACTTAATGCCACTGAACTCAACACTTAAAATGGTAAATCTTATGTTATATATATTCCCATAATAAAAACTAAATTCAAATATCCTGGACAATGACTTTACAGAGGCTCTAACAGTAAGGAAAAAATGTTAACTACGTTGCTAAGAAAACACACCTTTAGCTTGAAACCTTTGTCCTGGTAAAAGCTGAGATTCTGGAATCTGTAAGAGAATACTTATTAGAAAAAATGATTTATACTTAGTTTTTTTACTCACATTCATTTGTGTATCATTTTTCTAACAGTACCAAGTGGGTTTGAATTTGCTAATTAAGTAAGCTAGAATGAGGGCAGCACACAAAGAAAATTCTATGGAGTGAGGTCGCAACCTACATAGGACACTGCTCTTCCTTCTAAAAGCAATCACTTGGCTGTGCTGGCAGAAACTAAACAGGGCTCTGTACAGCAGCTGCTACATGCCCACCTCATCGTAGTGCTTCCGCTTATTTGGTAACAGAACACCCTAGTATTATTGAATGTGGCAATTTGCCCAGCTCAGTGGCCGCCTCCAAACTTCCAGCCCCCGTGCAGCTAGGGAGGGAGTTTCCAACAGCCCAGTGGCTGTGTGGCACTTCCAGTGGCCCATCTTTTCTCTTGCTTTCTTCTTCTTTCTGCCTAACCACGAGGGAGGGCTGGAGCCCCAGCAGCCATGGGAACCAAACACCAGGGACAGCAGAAGGACAGACAAAAGCAGCTGGGCCCAGGTAATTTTCCAGGATTCTCACACGGGCCCATCTCCACATTTCTTGGACTTGCTGAAATATGCGTGTCCAGGGCTGTCACTGGCAGCTGGGAGCAAACTGTAGCTGGTCCAGGCTCTCCTCAGGCCGACCCAGACTCCACTGGGGACACAGAGGGCAACCCTGGGTACTGCAGCAGGGAGGAGAGTTGCTGGGAAGGGCCTGAAGGCACAACAGGCCACCTTTTCCTCCCAATGTCACAGTAAGGGCCTGTGAGGTCCTGTGGCCTCTTCTAAGGAAGATGCTGCCAGGGTCCTACAGCACAAATGTGAACTTTTCTGTTTCCTTGATTAAAGTGATTTCATGGAATGGAAAGAGAATGGATTATACTTATATTTAAATTTTTGATGAAAGTCAGCCTATAAAATCTCTAATTCAGTAAAGAGGGAAAATTACTACCCCGAAGGATCAGAAAATCCATGGGCTCACACTATCCTTCAGGACTTATTCAAAGAAGTTCTATAATGATTTTTAAAAATTTTAGTCATTTAGATTTGCATAATCAGGAAATATAATTTATTTTATATGATTCAGAGGCAATAATTAGGTAAGAAACTAATTAAAAGCAGCAAGAGGATTTGCAAATATCAGAGACTTAACTTACAAACATTGTAATTTTTTTTTTTTTTCCCTAATGAGACCTCACTGTTACCCAGGATGGGTCTTGAACTCATGGGCTCAAGTGATCTTCCTGTCTTAGCCACCTGAGTAGCTGGGGCTACAGGCAGGTGGCACTACACAGCTCGTTTTAATACCTTTAGTAAGACCAAAAGATATATACTATACATGACTCTTATACCATTGCTCTAGATCTTTCTTTAAAATAGCTTTTCCTAGAGTATTGTTGGATTTGTAGCAATTCCACTTCACTTCCTCATTAGATCCAATTATAATCAGTCCATTGCATGCATCTGGCACATCTGGCAGGGCTAAGAGTGTTATTTATGGCCGCAGAATAAGGCCAAACTAACTGGCTCATGAAGCCATGGCATCTGTGACCACAGAAGATACAAATGAAAACACTTATGGTATACATGAGGGAACTGAAAGATTTCAAACGTGTTTACACCTTTGCTTTCTAATTTGAGTTTTAATCTCCCTTACTCTGAACAAGAGGAGAAAATGAATGTAATTTTATACTAGTCTCCTTTGTTTTTATAAGGACATCTTCATTCATCATTTATGAACAAAACCAAAACAAACAACAAATAAAACAAACAAACAAAAAACCTTGGGCTTAAAGCACATAAAGCTATAGCATTTGGTACCAGAAACAAATAGGTCCATTTAAAGAGAACTCTGAAGTTTAAAAGACCATTTGTGACTCAAATTCCTCTTATTTTACTTTCTGCCAGTCATATTTATATGCTATATAGTTCTATAACTTATGTAATATGTTTTAAATTTTTATATTGAAGCTGGGCATGGTGGCACCTATGTGTAATTCCAGCACTCTGGGAAGCTGAGGGATGAGGATGGCCATAAGAACGCAGACTGGGCAACTTAGCAATTTAATAAGACCCTTTCTCAAAATAAAAAGGGGGTAGGCATATATCTCAGTGCAAACACCTTCGGGTCGATCCTCAGTACCACACACAAACTTACTGATATGTATTTATCATCAATAAACTATTAAAGCCACTAATAATCTTATACACTTGGAGTAGATATATTTTTATCTGTAATTTTATGTGTTATAATGGTAATTTACATGTCCAGAAACATCATATATATTCACTTAATAGTATAACCTACTTTAGCTTCTGATGTGAATTCAGTACTTCTTTCTGCTTCCAGACTATGGTGCTAATCTCATTATCTTTTTTTTTTCTGAGGCAGGTGGCAGAACCACTGAGCCTTGCTTTGTAGTTCAGGATGACCTTGAACTCACTATGTTGTCCAGGCTGGCCTCGGAGCTCCAGCAATCCTCCTGCCTCAGTCTCCTGAGTGCTGGGATCACAGGTGTGTGCCACCACACTTGGCTTCACTACCTATCTTGAGCCAACAGTAACAGGAAAGATGGTTTGCTCTACACAGAAGAATGTGACCAAATGCCTGTTTATTGCCCATTAAGTGGCTTAGTTTTTCCTAAACTATTTACATGCTCTTCAAAGGATTAATTTATGAAGCATATCAGAAATTATTTGGGGCCCAAGTAATCAACGTAATTATTTGCATGCACATATTACAGATGGGAGTTTAAATATTGCAGCCATACTTTGATCCTGCGGTGGGAATTCTCCCCTGAGACTATCTACTTACTGGCCTTTGCTGTTTATTGGACGTTGGATCTCTCACATAAATAGTTCGGTCAGTATTACGTACTGGTTGAGTCTTCAAATCTATTCCATCGTCATTCAGATTGTCTTTCCTTTTTGATTTTATACATCCCATATTTCCTGTTGGAATATAAACACAGTGATATTGTTTTACTATTCCAGAACTGGCTTCAAGCCATTAGAAATTTCATTCTTCATCATACAGAAATATACTCAAAGGTGAATATTGCTCATTCATTCATTCATAAATATTGAGCATCAATTTTTTGTTTTATTTGAATTATGTTTTTTGAAACATAATTCCTATTCTAAATATTTTTATACTTTTGGGTTAAAGACGTATGAACTTAAATTATGGCACAAAGTGGCAAGTCAGTGACAGGCTGCACAAGACCTAAGAAAAGACACCTAACTCAGGCAAGAGGAAAAGGAGGTAGCCAGGGAAGCTTGCGGAAGGAGCTGCTCCATGAGTTGAGACAGGAGGGACATGAGCCAGGTGTCAAAGTCAGCAAAGGGATTCCAGGAAAAAGGGACTCCATGTGCAACCACAACTGAGGGCCGGATGACACAGCCACTTCAGGAACCAGTTCAACAACATTGAGCTCTTTAGTCTAGAAGCAGGTGGGGAAGGCCTGGATTTGGGGGTGGAGAGGGAGGCACATGCTGGGCACAATGCTGGTGACTTGAGTTTTACACCCAGACACATCCCATGCCTATACTTTAAAAACAAAATAAAATCTGTTATGATGTCCATCTGAAGGTCTGACAGGGCAGTGGTTCCTACAGAATAGATTCTCTGGACACATTCTAGGAAATCTGGGGGCCTAGTGGGGGCTTGGTGCTCCCCATTCTGGAGCACTGCCAAATCTGGGGGCCAATTTCTAGAACTTCAGAGGAAAGAAGGATGTCTTAGAGCTAAGAGGAGAGGCGGTGCAAATCAGTCAGTACCTGGGGGGAGGAACTATGCTAAGAAACCTCCAGAGCTCTCTCTCTCTCTCTCTCTCTCTCTCTCTCTCTCTCTCTCTCTCTCCACTGTTCCCAGTGTCCTGCTGCCACTCTATGGCCCCTCCTTGTCTTGTTACCCTGCAGGCCCCCAGCTGGCCTGGGGGCTTGGACTTGCTTCTCGTCTGCTTGGCTAGGTAGGATGCTCTGAAGGACAGCCAAGCCTCTTTCTGAAACTAGCCAGGGGTAGTTTCCAAAACAAAGGGGAAGCAGGTACTTATTTGATTCCAAACAGCCCTTTTTTTCCTTTTCTGTATGCTGAAGTTTCTGAAATAGAGACGGGTTTTAAAGAAGGTCTGTAAATAAGCAAGACGAGTTTTAGGACTGATTTGTAAAGGAGCACGTGAGTTTTTTTGTTTTCTTTTTCAGCAACCTCCCCTAACTGATCACCCCTTAAAGTGCTTTATAAATGGGTAAATACAGTGATAGGGAGGTCCGGGAAGAGCGGGCCCCTGAGCACGTGGCAAACTCGTTACAGAGGAGCCTTGAGTGGGTCCTTGGCTGATCTTGTACCCAGCCCTTCACACAGCGCCACCCCATTCTGCTTCTGAGGCCCCGTCTCCTTGCCTCTGGGTATGTGTCTGTCTGAGTCTTTCCTCCAGATTCTACCCAAAGGTGACTGCCCCAGACAAGTGAAAGAAAGAGCATGCTCCACCCGGAACACCATGATTTACATTTTTCTTTTGTGGTACTGTGGATTGAATACAGAGCCATTACACTGAGCTACATTCCCAGCCTCTTTAAAAAACTTTTAATTTTTTTTTTAACATATCTTGCCAAGTCGCTAAGTTGCCCAGGCTGGGCTCAAATTTGTGATCCTCCTGCTTCAGCCTCTCAGAGTGCTAAGATTACAGGTGTGCACCACCATACCTGGCTTCCATTTACACTCTTATTTGTCATATTCCCACCTAGTTCCATTATCAGCCTTTTCTTTTTTTTCCGGTCAGCTCTCCCAGCTAGAATGGAAGTGGTTCGGACACCAGCCATCTCCCTGGCTGTCTACAGTACTTCCACCACTAACACAGTGCCAAGGGCAGGTGCTCAGAGCATATCTATTGAGAGAACAGACAAATGGGTCCAGTGGCATGGGCTCCCCCTCTTGAAACAGCTATAGGCTCATCAGGACACCTTTTGCCCAAAGATGCAGGAGGGAAAAGAAAGGGGGCAAAGCCCACCTCAAGGTGTCATTCTAAAAGACACCAACTGAAGCAGAGGCCTCTACAATCCACTTCATGTTTGTAGGAAACACAGGAGAGAGAGGAATAAGATGATCGGACAAATCCAGAATGTGCTGTACACTAAAGATAAGTAGCTGGATTTGTCTATGCTGGGGCAGGGGCAGAAGTATTCTGTATGGAAAGATTGCAGGGCTGGTGAGTAACTCAGTGTTGGAGTGTTTGCTTAACAAATCTGAGGCTCTAGCTTCTGTTCTCAGGAGAGAGAGAGAGACACGGACAAACAGAGACAGAGATAGAGACACTGTGGGAATGTGAGAACTTTCACTGAATCCCAGGGGCCAGGGGTTGAAATGCACATAGCTGAAATAATTGGGGAAATCCGAGTTGGTCTGAGAAAGAGACCAGGGAACTGCTAGGCTTCGTCAGGTGAAAATGGTGTTCTGGATGTATGGGAGACTCTGCATCGCAGAAGATGCAAGTGGAGGTGTGTGGGGGTAAGGGTTAAGGTCTCAGCAACTTTTAACACTTCAGCCACAATGAGGGGCCAGAGAGGGGGCAAAGGTGTCCAAATATTCAAAAATTAGTGAATACAGGAAACAGGCATATTCTTTCATTGTTTTCTGTAGATTTGAAAATTTCAAAGCAAGAAGATAAGAGGCTATCAACAACTCTGTAAAAGCATTCTTTGAAATGTTAGATACCCAGCGGAGCGTCTGTGTGTGCCTGAAGGCCGGAAATGAGATTAGCACAGCTCCCGGTCAGGCATTCTTTCCATGGTAAGCCAAGGAGCCTGGGTTTTTTGGCAACAGGGAGCCACAGAAAACTCTCTTAGGTGGAATGACACACGGAGTCCTTTAGTTCTGAGACAGAACTCTAGGAAACAAGGACAGGGTGGGCTAGCATGGGAAAATCTGCCCCCTAGCGTCCAAAAGTGTCCAGAGAAAGAGATGAGGGCTTCTGTAGAGGGGCTGTGCTCTTGGGGATGGAAAGGGTGAAAAATTAAAAAGGTGAGTGGGGGCAGGGTGTCAACCAAGAACACCATACTAATGGATTGTCATTTGTTCATTCTTAGTTTGTTTTTCCCTCTTGCTATCACCATGGAAATTGAGAGCCAAGTGTATGTATCATAGATGAAAAAATGGAAACAGCCCTCTATATGGAGAACTAGCATGACCTCAGGGCTTAGACAGAGGTCGCCTCTGGTCCCCACCCCCAATCAGGAACAGAGCTCAGATTTGAAGCCTTGCGGTTCAGAAAGAAACCTTCAAGAGCACTTCTTATCATATGGCGATCAACATCCCAAGGTCTTGCAATTCTCTATGCTGTACGAAGGTATCAGAAAAGTAGAAGATATAATCTATACTCTACAAAAACTAAGAATGCAATTTACAAATTTCCAAGTTCTATGATGCAATGAATGATGTGCACCTTCGTATTTTTTAATTAAACACCTATCATGTGCTGCACAACTTATTTAAGGCATTATTAGGTCTCCTTTACAGAGCAGTAAACTGAGCTGAGAGAGGTTCGGTGAGTGGCTAGTGAGGGAAGAGCCAGGTCTCACTCACACTTCACTCCGGTCCAAAGTTTAAGGTTAGCATTAATTCCACAGCCTGCACTCTTACCGTTTTGCTATATGATAGCTATTTTGAAAGTTGTGTTTCAGTAATAGTGCTAAAGAAGAGATTATTTTTGTAGCCTGCCTTTCTCAAAAGGGTATGAAAAAAGTCAATAATGAGGTAAATTAGATGAAAACAAAATGAGAAGCAATGAAGAGAGGAGCGTGTGAACTCGGTTACACTATGGGTGATAGATCTGTGTAACTAACTGCCCGCGTTTGCTGGCAGGAAGGGCCTGAGGAAACATGAGTTACCAGGTGGGGAAGTAAGGGGCTGAGCTCCTCGTGGGGCAGTGCGTCCCCAGCACGAATTCTAAGTTCCCTGATGGCAGACTTAAGTGCTGTGGGTGATATATAGTTGGCAATGCCTCCAATACTGTTTTTTAACAGTAAATAAAGGTACATTTTATATGGAGAGTCTTTAGGTTAAAAGTAATCCTAATCACTGAAGGGGTGTGACATGCAAATACAACCCTGGGATGTTCCTTGAGAATGCTCAACTCTATCACCTGAAGAGATCCAAGCAGCTGGGCAGCCCCTCTGCTCATGAGGGACGTGCACAACAACCCTTACAACCAGCAGCTGTGAGAACCAGAGGCTGGTGACTTCTCTTTTCAGAAATTTTCTCATGGGAATATCCATTAGCGGAGGCTCCTCCTTGTTCAAGGGCCTTAGCATATTAAAAGAATTATTTAAAAAACCAAAAAGTAACTCAGCACAGTGGCACATGCCTGCAATCCCACCTACCTTGGAGACTGAGGCAGGGGGTTGGAAATTTGAAGTCAGCTTGGGTAACTTAGCCAGACTCTGTCTCAAAATAAAAATAAAAAGGGCTAGGGATGTAATTTAGTAATGGAGTACTTGTCTAGCATGCACAAGGCCCAGAGTTCAATACCTGGTGCTAAAAATTTTAAGAACAGCAACAACAAAAAGCAGACTCTGGAACAACAGACTGTAACTACTTCTTACCACCCTACTGCCTTTGGCCGGACCTACAATGCCTAGTGACTATTCACTGGCTTAACAAAGAAGCAGTTGTGCACCTGGACTCCGCTTCTGGGGGTCTGCACAAGGGCACCAGCATGGTCACACTAGCATCACTTAGGTTATAAACGGAGCCCATCTAGATGTTTATCAATCCTTACCATATGTGGGCAAACTGGCAGGTACTCTACCCTGTATCTAACTTTCTCTTCTCTGCCAATAAAGGTTTTTAAATTACTCATCATTCACATTACTGCTAACTTAAAGGAACCAAAAATAGAAACCTGGATGTCGCTTTTCACCTATGAAGAAAACCAGACTATCCGACAGTCTCCTTT